GGGGGTTCACAAAAAAAGGAAGAAATTACAAAGCACAGGATAACGAAATGCTAGACACTCTCTAAGAGGTGCTGCTCAAAAACTACTGTTAATGGAAACGAAACCAATATGTATTTGTCAGTTTTATCTTTAGAGGGAAGTATGTACATTTGCTACAAACTTCACAAGTATCAGTGATGAAAGCCTAGGGAGTTAGCCCCATGACTGATCACCATCTGTAACTGTTCTGCGTTTTGATTGAAAAAGTCAATTCAAACCTCTTCCAGTGACCACTTATTTTCCAAAGTTGTACGCAGATGTCCAAAATCATCAAATTGTATACATTAAATATATATAGGTTTTCTGCACATTAATTATACCTCAATAAAGCTGTATTTAAAAAGAAAAACCTTAGGGTTGTATTGCTTTTCTGAGCATTAATATTAACCAATCTGCTAAACTCCCATTTAAAACTCAATACAGTAGGAAAAATTTGTGGTTCCTAAAGAAACTGTTTGCTGACTTGGATTATTCTTTGTTGAAGGACTTCTTCCACTTAAAGAATGAATATTCTCTGAATATTCTTTTATCACTGATAATTGTGGCCATCTTTTTTGGTGAATAAAGATTGTTTAAAAATGTTTATTAGATGCATAAATAATGTTTTTGCCATCACGTCACCAACAATGCAAGAATATTTTACTTCTTCCCCCAGACGCTCCACTGGAGCGAGGAAAGAGGTTCCCCTGGTTCCTCTGAGCACTGCGGGGAAGACAGCGCCCCAGTTCTTTCCTTGGACAGAACAACAACAGACATGGGAGAAAAGGGGTACCTCCTTTAAACATAAACCCTTCTAGAGGTCCTCTGCATAATAAGCAACAACAATGCATGGCTTTAATAACAATAGCTTGCATTCATACAATATAGTTTACAAAGCCCATCGCTAAGTTTTTGTCAATTGATCCTTGTAATAATTATATGATTGCATACTTCAGATGCATTTTATAGATGACAAAAACTAAGTTCCGCCAGCTTCACCTACTTGTTTGAGATACACAAGTGAGCAGAACAAAGCTAAAATCCATACTTATTCTGTTCATCTGTAGAGGCTGTGCCCCTATAATTTCCCCACCTACACTAACGTGAGTTAGAGAGATGGAGACCCAAGCCTGCGTTGCCGTCCGTGTGTTCGAGGCAGGCAGAAAGCGGAAGGACAGGAAGCCGGTGCCCCTGAGACAGGAGCTCAGCTGGGAACCCCCGGTCCCAGGCAGCAGCCCTATGAGGGTAAAGACCATGGAGATGGCAGGGAAGATATTTAAAGACAGGGATTTGCTAGCTGAAATCTTTGATTTTTAGACTTGACCTCAAAAGCCACGGAAAACCCGTGCTCAAAGCCCATCTTTCATCGAGCTGCAAGTCTCCGAGATCAACAACTGCAGGCTCTGACTCCCTGCTGCCGGTTCGGGGCATTGTGTAAACACTCGGTTAGCGCTGCCGCCTCCCCGTGACAAAGTCCCACAGATGAAGTGTAAAACTGAGACTCCGGCCGTCCGTGCTTATTAAAGGCCCCGAGGTACCTTTTACAAGAATTGGGTGATTAACATTCACAATCTTGGCCTGTTTCCAACAGGGGGGAAGAAATGGTGCTTCCACGGTGCCTGCTTGGCGCTGTAGTTCCACTGGGCGGACTGCGCGGAAACGCGGCGCAGGGTCTGAGACCCCGGGAGATCGGTCAGGGCAGAGTTATGAAAAACCCATTCTCGCTATGTTTTAATTTAGAACATCTGAGGACCACCTGGATGCAGGAAACCAAATTTATTCCCACCTTCAAAGGAGGGGAGAATCAAGGCTTTAGGAGTAATTTACTTCAATCGGTTCCAACCTCCCTTCCCTGGACCGTTCTGCAGAGCCAGCGCTGGCCTCCTCTCCGCGAGAGACACCGGCCCTAGGCCCTGAGCCGACGCGTTTCTCAGCACACCTGGTAGGTACCCACCGAGAGCTGTGTCTCCGCTCCGGGTTATGAATAGTGGTTTTAAACCTGAAATGTCACGCCCACATTTTAGTAAATAACCTGGGGCAGATTGGGCAAAATAGACTCTAAGTTATTGCTGCAAGTGTAGAGGAAGGGTAGGAAGAGCAGGAGAGACATTTTGCAGAAACCCATGCAGATGTCATGCTTTTTGAATGCTGAACTCTCTAGTATTCTGGTTTGCATATCCTTAGCAAAAAGGCAAATCACACGTAATAAGGTACATTCAATCGCTTGGTGGACATCACCTGGTACACTGTATGGCCAATGAGTCTCAACGCACTGTAAATGTCTAACAATCCAAGGCTCACGAACAAAGGAAAAACAACATGTAGAATGTGGAAAGAACCTAAACATATTCCTAGGAATAGAGTAACCCCTTGGCTGTGGTAAGTAAAGTGTTAAAAATATATATACGTGCAGCCCTAAGGTTATGACTCTGAAAAATAAGGGGATACTAGAAGAAACTCTAATTTGGGAGACATAAGAAGGACAGATGGTGGTTAGTCAGGGGATTAACTCGCTGGGCTTTTCCACTGCTGATATTTACGAAATTCACACAGAATGCCCACTTACTCTCTAAGATAAAAAAAAAAAGTGAACAGATCTAGATTGCTTCAAGTCTTAAAACACGTTTGGGTCTAAGGTTACAGCTAGAAGGTAGAAATGAATGTTTGGAAACTGAAGTGAAATCGAAGTGAAGAACAGGTTTGAGGATTAAGCCACTGCCACCCAGGCCTGTTTGGCCTCTTTATTCCAGGACGAGGCCTAGCTACACTTGATTCTCTGGGGGGATTTGATTTCCTTTCATTTTCCGCTCTTAGGCGCTGCTTAACACCACTTAAGCCAATAAGTCTCTGGTTCTTACCCCAGGGGCCCAACTTCTGGCAAAGTCCATTGGTGCCACTCCTCCGCTAGGCCTCAGGTCACTTCAGCTATTCCGAAGGCCAGAGGAGGTGGCAGATGCGTGGCGAGTCATTAATTATTCAGAAATTGGTTGTCATTATAGTAGCAAAAGCAAAACAAAACAGCTCCCCCGCCAAAGTTGATTTGGTAATGGAATATAATCATCGGGTGGACAAAATTAAAATGTTTTCCACACCATTTCTCCTTTCTTCATGTTCCTACATTCTAGTGAAACGGCCAAGGGAAATCATGGTTGAAAAGTGAAGGGGCATCTCTCTTGCGTGACGGAGAGCTGTCATTTCCTATTGAAGCTCTGCTTTGGTGGCTTCAGTCGTTAATTTATCAAACAGATATTTGTTGAGCATGTGCCATAGTTTAGACACTACCTTAAGTGCCGGAGATACAATGAGAAGCAAAAATAAGACACGGGACACTAACGGCAAAGCCATTCGGGACAGGCATGGGTACCCGGCAGCTTGGAAACAAGGTCAGCAGAAAGTTAAAAGTAAGAAAACAGGATCTTACCCGGTTCTTCCAGCAGCAACAGCTGTGGCCTCTTCCAAAGCAATTAAGCCTGTGGCTAGGATTCCAGTCCCATCTCCTCTCAGCAGCCTCCCAGCCTTGGAACGTTCTTGAAGGGAGACTCTTAATCGATTGCATTCTTTTGTTTCTGCCTTGGCATCTCAGATGGTGGCATTCCCGAGGCTGATTAGCTCGAAGTTCCTGCCCTGTGAAGCCAAAGCCACCGTGTAATTTCCATTAGACCTGAAAATGATCCTGATTTAAAGCATAGATGGAGCCCGTAAGCCATCGTCTAATCATACTTAAGAATTATCTGGCCTGGGCTGTATGTTCTTCATTTCTTTCATAGAGAAATCATTCTGAAAACTACATGTCACTCTTTGTGGACAATGAAATACGCGTGATGACAGCCTCGTTTAGAGCCGAGCACTGCGCACTGAGTGTCAGCACTCTGATGCGAAATTGCAGAGTGACTTTGGGCAATGCCCTTAACTGTCCCTTTTGTTTTCTCTTCTCTGTTCTTTCAGGGTCTTTGATGTGCCAATCTTTCAAACTGGACTTGCAGTGGGGTAGATGGTAGATGAACAGGGAGGGGAAGGATCTGCAAACATTAAGAAAAAAAAAAAACACTCCGGCCCCCTGCTCTGGAAAGGAGCACAGCCTACTGAAGGAACAGACTTTTAAAGTGAATGATTAGAACCCCACAGGATGGGACTGTCACTAAGGGGTGTGCAGGGTGCAACAGGAGCATAAGGAAGGACACTCACTGCCTCCGGGAGACGACACAGGGGAGCCCGGCAGGGCATCCTGGTGGTACTTACCGATGAGCTAATGCTGAGGAATGAGGGGTGCCCTGCATGGAAGGGGGAAAGACATCTGTGATTGGTCTATAATCCTTGATCCTCAGAAATATACTGAGAGCAGTTACAGAAACCAGGAGACCCGGGAGCCCAGCCCCTCCGTGAATTCCAGAGCACTCAAGCCCCACCAGAAAAATGATGCCACATCAGTTTTAGGACTTCGGGTGGCTTCTCTGCTCTGTGCCAGGGAATGCTTGTTAATCTTTTTTCCCTTGGCAAACAGGGGCAGAAGACCCACTCACAGCCGCTCTTCTCCTCTCCTGGCTCATGCTGACGCTGCAGCTGGTGGAGGCGATGGCTCTCAGAGCTGTGGTGGGAGAGACCCGGGCAGTGGCGAAGGAAAGGGCATCACCCCCCATCTCCCCAAAGCAAGGCTGGGGACCCCCCTCTCCCACCATTATAGTGGGAGGCCTTTCTTCCTCAGCTGCTCAGGTAGCTCTAAACACTTCCCAGGGAGGGCTCCCTTCTCCTCCTCATGAACCTGTGCCTGCCACGGCACTTGTGTCCTCTGTGTGGACACAGCTGCCCTGAGCATCGAGGGCACGCAGGTAAAGTGGCGAAGTGCAGACATTTCGAAGGCAGTCCAAAGCCTCCGGGTTATAGTGTCAAATCAGTCCACAGTGGGAAGGACAAAGATCACGTGATGCCAGCGAGGCCCTGCCACGGCACTTACATGTATGAGAAGCACTGGGGTTCCCAAGAAGCCTTGCAACAAGACATGGAATGCTGGCCCCACTGTGTCCCAGACCCTGTGAGACCCTGGGCCTCCCCTTCCTTGTCTGGGACGTGGTAAGGAGGGAGAACTTAGATTACATGGCTCTTCAGCTGGATCTTGCATCCTACAACTCCCTCAATCTCAAGGTATGTGAGATCTCAAACCGGGAGACAATCTTTATGAAATGGTAGTGGGATTTTAAAGACTGATTTAACAGGACACAGTTCTAAGAAAGCATTCTCTTAGAAAATGCTTAAGAAAGAAATGCTCATATAAGAATGCTCATGGGAGAAAGCCTTTAATATGCTGCATTTGTGAGTGCTCTTGCCATCCTCATCAACAGCAGTCTGAACAATTTTTTGTATAAAAGCAGAAAAAACAGTCACAGGTAGATTAATAAAATATGAAAATGTGCATAACTCAAAATAATGTAATGCTACCATCTCCCCTCCTTGCCCATTTGAAAAGCACCGTGGCTTCAAGAGAAGCATCAGAGAATATGTAGAAAGTGGTCGCGTTGGAAGATCCTGTTGGCTTATGAGGCAGAAGGGCCGTTTCCTGCCTGACTGTTTTGTGACCTGCAGCATGTTGTCATTACTTTTAGGACCTTAGTTTCTGTGCCCCTCAAGTCAGGGTCGAGAATGCTGGCCTCGTACTGATGTCTTATGTCAGTTTAAGGACAGGTGTGCATTAAAGGCTTTTCTGAATTCAAAGGTACACAGGGATGGGCGATACTCTCTGCCTGGGTGATGGCGGGGTCTACGGGTATGGCCGTGGCGAGGTGCTCCCCTGCCTGAGACTGCCGCGTGTGAGTGCCGTGAGGGCTCATTGCTTGTAAAACATTCTCCGTCTTTCACTGTTGCTATCTTAGCGCCAGTGGGGAGTGACCTCCCTCTCGGCTGGCTGCGCCCGGACTCATACTGCCTGTGGATCCCAGAGCAGAGGAGCGAGGCTCAGCCTGGCTTCGTCATTCAGCAGCGCAGCAGATCCCTCCTTGGGAGGTGGCTGCAGCTGCCAGGTGGGCAGCGAAGGGTCTGAATCTCCTCCCTTTCTCTTCTCTCTCTCCAATTCACCTACTCATTCGCCCAACAAATACTTCTCGAGCCCCTTCTATGTGTGAGATACTGTTCCCAGCAGTGGGTCCCTGCTACTTTGGAACATACACTAGCATGGGTAAGACAGAGGAAAAATAGATAAAGTGGGGAGGGCTGGGTGGAGGAGGGCAGAGGGGGAAAATTGGGACAAGTGTAATAGAATAAACAAGAAAAAAAATAAAAAAGATATACATAAAAAAGAATAAGGTTTATGTGTGAAGAAGAAAATAGACGGGATGATGTGCCAAGAAGTGACGGTTGAGGTGGACCGCCCCGCGGACAGAGGGTGGGGGCCTGGGGTGAGGTCCAGGAATCTGCACCATTAACCGGAAGGGCAGGGGATAATGCCGCAGCTGGTCCCTGACTACCCTTTTAGCATCACGGCCCCAGGGAATGTTCTGGGTGTGTGACCCTCAGGGCTGCGGTTTCCTTTGTGAGTGGTGGGAGTGGAGTGGGGTGTGTTTCAGGGTGAAGGTTAATTGCTCGGTGCAGATTCCCACCTGAAGCTCCCTCTTCCTGGCACCCTTCCCCACTTCCAGCAGCTGCCTTCTGTGCGGGGAGAGAGGCCTCGCCACCTGTCGGCTGCAGCCCCAAACTCAGAGGCTTAATGTGTTCTTATCTGAAATGAAAGAAAGAGGAGGAGGGGAAGCAAAATTGTTAACATGGTTCATCTTCCCTCTCTTCTCCCAGATCCTCTGCTGATCCCCCACCTTCCTGGGTCCTCCCCCAGCCCTCTCAAATCCACCGTGAGCAGCTGCTGGCCTCCTGGCTCAATGGGCCCCTTTGCCAGCTGTCTGACGTCACACATCAATCTTCAATCTTTACTGCAAATCTCTGCTGATCACATTTCACATTTCCAGGACTCCGGCCATAAAGCCCCTTTCTCTGGTATAATTAGTAATTAGAGGAAAAATGTCAGTGAACAGACACTCAATCCCCATCTGTCAAGTGAGGAAATTCCCATTCAGGTGGAGGCCTGACTGCTCTGTCCAGGTGACGGGCCGCTCCTCTCAGCTGAGTGGTTCTAACGGAACTGGAGAGCTGTGTTTCCAAGCGCCCATGTTGCTGTGCACACACCTTCTTCCCTATTCTCGTCTTCTCTCCCGTCCTGCTTCTAACAGGAACACCACAACAGAGTTCCTCTGGCTACAGCTCGCTTCCTAGCCTGTGGCTGGTGTCGCCCCACGATCCCTCTTTGGGAGGTGGCTGCAGCTGCCAGGTGGGCAGCGAAGGGTCCTAACTGTGAACACGGGACATAGGAAATGGGTGAGGCCCACACTGTGCTTGCAGATTTGCCAAAGTGGGGACAGTTTTAGCTGAGGGCAGTCTTTGCTTATTCATTGCTCTTGTCACTTATAACACAATCTCATGAAATAGTCTTCCAAGCTTTGCGGAGCTTGGATTTGAGTTATCATTACCATCATCATTAGTTAAACACGGGCCAACAGCTCAGGTTGGATACCTCAAACACAGAAATCGGATGTGTTTCTAGAGGGAGGTGAGAGTTTGCTCTTCTCAGTGGTATCGAACCACATCAGGGTAGCTGGATAACTTCTGCGACCTGAACTTATCCATGACATAAAGTCACAAAGGTGGCACAGAGGCCAATGGTCAAGAAGGTAAAAGAATCTTAGACCTTGTCCTTTGAAGAATAGTTGAAAAATTGGAAGATTCAGAGAAGAGAGGTCTCAGAGGGTGTTAGCTGTTCAAGGGTCTGCCCTCTGGAAGGGCGGGGACTCATTCAGCTGCACCCAGAGGTCAACGTGGACGACAGCTGCCGGGAGCGCGATCTTAGCTGGAGACACAGAGCGCTGGAGTCAGAAGGCTCGGGCCTGAATTCTGCTTCTGCCACTTATTAGCTGTCTGATCACAGGCAGATTTCTTAGGTCTCTGTACCTCACTTTGCTCATCTGTAGAGTGGGGATAGTAACTGTGTCTAACGCAGTTTTGAGCATTAAATGAGTTCACACACACAGCGAACTGCAGCAGTGTCTGACTCACAGTAGGCAGCGGCTGTTTCTATCACTGCAAGAAGCTGGGGGGGCACGATCATGTGCCAGGAAGCTCAATGTATCTCAGGGTGCTTTCCATAAAACATGGCTCCCTGAAGGTGTCACCTGAGAAAGGAGCTTTGAAATCAAATTGTTGACCATGACCTGGAGACTCATGATACAAAGGACAGTAAAAGACAGTAACTTTACTGTCACTGAGCCGGCCGCACCCACTTATCTCACCAGGGATGCTCCTTTGATGGGGAAATAGGCTGTGCCCCGTGGTGCCGCACCCAGCACATGTGAGTGGAAGCGGAATGACGGGCCGGGCCAGGCGGGCGTGCTGCTGTGGGAGTGCCCCCACTTCAGGGGCCGGGTAGATAGGCTTCTGCAAAGAACTTCTGCTCTGATAAAGCGTCCAGCGTCTCAGGGGGCAAGTGATGTCGCCCTTCAACCCCAGCACGGACAGTATAAAGACACCACGGGCATCACTTCCCCCAAGTCCCTCTGCCTGGAGATATACAGAAGTTTAGGAAGTGGGTGACAGAGAGCAAACAGAACATTTCACTCATTTAACATTCAACAAAAAGTTCTCCGTTTCCGCCAGGCCTTGTGATAAACAATGGGGATGCAGAGATTCCTGAGACACAGCCCTCCCACCAGAGGCGGAGGTATGGGCTCGCAATACAATGCCATCATTGCCCTCGTGAACTTGAAAATGAAAAGGCCCAAGGGAACAGACAGGAGGGCAAATGAATTCTGATCAACGGAGTTTCCGAGGGCGAAGGTGACTTTCTCCCAGACCTGCCCTGGGAGACGAAGAAGGGGTGCATATTATAGGTGGAGAAATGGGGGAGGGGGGCAGGCACTTAGAGAGAGAAAGACGGGGGCAGGGGCCTGAGGGAAAGGTGCCAGAGCAAAGACAGACGGTTGCTCAAGGACAAGAAAACATCAAAAGTGATGCCATGTTCAGAGATTAGTTGGTTAAGGGCTGAATAACCAAGAGGCTCTGAGGTTTCATATTTACTTCTATTGCCTGGGACATCGCTTTAATCAACTGCACCCTTTTTTGAACTGTTTGAGTCTTGGTTCATTTGAAAAAATGGAGGGAGGGATGAAGTAGGTTTCTGAGACCCTCTCCCTTATTTTTCTGATTCCACAACAGTTTAGACATTGGTACTCGCAATGTTCTGTGTCTGTATCACAGCCGAATACCGGCCAACCCACTCTATGAAATGATAAAATCTTCACCTTACATCAACCATATTCAACTGCCTAATTATTAGGTTTGCACTTCCCTGACCTCTTCTTCACTTTTCTTTCTCATCCCCTACTTTCAAAGGGAGAGGTTTAGACGCAGAATTCCAAGGGTGGCCTCTCCTCGGGGTGCAGAGGACATCCGTCTTCTGTGCGCTGGCACGGCGATTCTGTCTCCAGCTAATTCTCTCGCCACAAAACACTGCAAACTCATGTGTTTCTGGTTACTTGCTCCCAAATGCATTACTTTGCATTTTTCAAAGTTGAATCCCATCTCATTATTTTCCACCCATATTTCTATAATCTCTTAATGTCATTCATGTGTGCACTGCCTGCCCACACCGGGGTCTGCCTCTCCTTGCGTGGTACCATCTGCATGCTCCATTCATCTTTCTTAAAGAACACTGGGCCCAATACTCTGCTCATATCTCATTGCCTGTTGCTCCCCAGCCCGATGCCTGGTCCTAATGATGGCACCCAGATCCCAGGCTGCCCTTGTCTTTTAGTCAGAAACATCACTCTGCAAATTCACTTAAAAATTCAAATGTGGCTTCTTCAGATAATTATTGCTTAGTTCTTCTGAATTTTAACATCTTATAGTTGCATGCTATCATCAGTGTAATATTATTCAACACCCCCAGTTTACAGATGAAGAAACAAGCCCAGAGTGTGCAGTCGGTAGGGCAGGTTCTGGAAGAAACCAGTACAAAGGTCCCCATCTTCCAGACAAGGAGTGAGAGGGTACACCGAGAACCTCCCTAAGGAGGTAGGGTAGGGAGGACAAGATGGGAAGAATGAAGAATAAATAATGTTCAATTTCCTTGCTCTGAGTAGAGCTGCACAACTGTGGTGCCAACTAAATTCTCAAGTCCTAAGAGTCTCACTCACAGCGAGATGCATTCACGGTGCCCCGCCACCCTCTTCCTTTTCAGGAGCCTCCTCCAGGCCTGGGCGGGGAGGGGCGGGGCGGGGCGGGGCGGGGCGGGGTGGGGGTGGAGCTTATCCATCCCCAGCAGTCAACGCGCCATGCTCTAATGAATAATATTGTTCAAAATCCCTTTCCTCCGTTCCCAGCTTGGTCTAATAGTATTTATTTTTAGCCAAATTCCTGGATTCCTCTTCATTGTTTATTAGCCTTCAAAAATGTAAGCTGATTGTTTTCTGCTAATCTTTGTGCATTCATGATTTCCAAATATCCATCGAACTTATTTATAATTCATCTTCCTTTGAACCATTTTTATGGTACCAATCTGTTGCCTGATTTGTGTGAGACATCAGAGTCTGGTGCAGTATTTTCTGTTGCCTGATCATTATTCACTGCTTATTTTAAAAAAGTTTCCAGTGCTTCTCAATCACAGTGATCATAAATGAAGAATCTTTACTCTTTTTAGACAGTTATCCTAGCATTAAGTCATTCTGAATTTTTTGTGCCAAGTTTTCTCTCCAAGTATTGACTGAGTCTGGGTCTGCACGATACCCAAACATCCAAATGAAAAAGCAAAAAAATCCAGCTGAACAACTCAGATGTGTCTCCGCCAAATGCAGATGTTTGGCAAGTGAGGACAGTACTTCTGGATGATGGGCGAGTCCCCTACCGTCGACGTGTTCATCGCAGTGCTTTGGCGCGGGAAGATGGAGCTCAACTCTGCGCGAGGCGTGAAGAGGGGCAGCTCCTGGGAGTCAGCCCCTGTGTGATTTGAACCTCCGACTCACTAGCTGGGGTGACCAAGGTGGAGGAAGTCGCTTGTCCGGGTGCATGCTATGGGCTTGTCACTGTGAAGAACTGTGGGTTCGGGAGCGGGCCTCTATCCCAGAAATCAATCCAGATGCAAAAAAAATGAAGGGAGAAAAAACCAGGAACTTGCCTTTTCATTGGCTGTAGAATTGTGGTAAATATTTCAAAATAGCCATAGTATCCAGTTCTTTGTTTACAGGATTTGCCTAACTCTTCCCTTAATACAGTCAAATGAAAAACACATATTTTGTACTTAAATGTTAATTGTCATTCTGGAAGATTTGAAACTTTGAATGCGTAGTGCCTTTTGCATTCTCTCCATATTCCAGTGAAGGGTTTTATTACCATTAATTTATCAAATGCCTGGAGTGAGGCGTAGGCAGTTTCACATACAAGTAGACAACATTTTAAGACTAGACCTGAGTCTAGGATTGTAGATTTGAGGGGTTTTAAAGGTGTTTAAAAAACAACCCCCACGCAATGCTTAAAGCGGCTCCCCACTGGCACATTGGTTTGAGGAGTTATCCAGGCAGTTCTAGAGACAGGGAATGGCCTTATTGTTGTTATTTTAAAATTTCCTAAGAATCTACCTCTCTGTGGCTTCCGTTTGCTGACCCCCGACTTCCCCTTTGGCCCACAGAACAAGTTAGGCTGTCTTTTTATAGCACTGCTATTTGAAATAATTGATCACATCCTTTACCCTTCACCCCCCACCTGTCCTGAATCTCAGCCAGGACTCCTCTTCTGCAGCCACCGCTGGCCATCCTCTCAGGAGGTCTGAGGTTCCTCCCGGCATGTGTCGCGGCTTTTTGGTGTTTCTCTTAAAGCACCAAGCACAGGGGGGCTGTGACTCCTTGAGGCCCTCCACCCCTGAGGCCCTGCTGGCTTCCACTGGGGCCTCTGTTTCCCCGTAGAGGCCTGGCTCTCTGACAGCGAACAGACACGTGAGGAATGTCTCCATCCAGCGTAGTTAACTACTCCTCACGGCAGCCTCCACTGCCACCCAGCTTCTCCTGGCGGGGCTCCAGGACAAGGTGAGAGCTCTGAAATTTTTACACAGCGAGAAGCAGGTCAGGGACTCTGACGGGCGCCCAGACCACCTCCTGGTGGAAAGTGTGACCCGGCAGGCCGTCGCCAGCGGCAGCGGTCCTGGCACTCGGGGCGGGGCCGAGCAGCAGATGTACCCATGTGCTCCCTTTGCGTGCGGGGGAGGGCGCCCCCTTTCCTTACCTGAGCTCGGCCGAGTCCCCCACACATCTGCAGTCTCTTTACAACTCCTGGCAGCCGTTCTTTGGTGACTCCCCAGGTAAGGACAACTGGATTTTTCTCCCACCTTTTAGCTTTTCTCCAGGTACAGTGTAACCCGACCCCATCCAGAACTGAAACGTCTTTGAATTGTGGTTGGTAAGTACCACTAGCACCTTGGGTTTATAAAAAAGGGTAACATTTCTGCCTTGTACGGCAACTATAAAAACTCTTAACCTAATTTTCCAGCTGAGCCAATTTCAAATTAAATGGTTTCATGTCAGGAACATCAACATCTGGACGAGACTCTAACGGATCCTGTGATAAATCAGCAGCTGCTGTGGGCAAAAGGTCACTCTAATTCCAGATTCTCTGCCTGGAAAACACCAAGACATAAAATCACCACACAGACTGTGTAAAAGCCACGAGGGGCTCGTGTGGGAGAGAGTGTGGAGGTGAGCAGGACAGTCTTGGGTGGCAAGGTTGGAGATCCTGTGGCATTGCTGTGAGCTCGAAGAGTTGCTGGGGATGCGACCCAGAGGTCACTAGGCAGCCTGTTCTGGGCCGGCACCCCCTCACAGCAGAACATGGCACATCACTGCATCCCAAAAACAGACCCAATAGGTAATAATGGTAAAAACATACCGGGGGAGGTGGTGGGGAAGAGAGTTTACAGCGCAGACTATTTGACAAAGCTTCATGAAATCCTATTTAAACACCTCAGCCAATTCCCAAGAGTTCCCCGCTGGGCCCTTGCGGCTTCTTCTTTCCTCGTTCTCCAGTCCCCCTTAGGGCCCTGTCTCCCTGCCTCCCTGGCTCCTGCTCTCAGCTGAGGCTCCAGCGCAGCCCTGGACCGTCCCAGGGTCTCTCTCCATCCTGTTCTTACACGGAGTGCTGCCCGCTTCTCAGCATCTAATCGGCAACTCCCTGCCCATGGCCCCATGCGGCAAGCTGAGGACTCCCCTTAGGGCCCACTCATCTTGAGAGTGATGAGAGTGGGGTTGGGCTTGTGGCTACCAAAACCTTTTCCTAGACATAAGTTTCCCCGACACATAGGTAAGTCATTTAGCACTGTATCTAGCTCTTAATGTATGAACCAAAATGGTAGATTCTAGCATTGCCAATAAATAATACTATTTTAGAGAGGGAAAAATTCTGATGCTCACCTCTCTGTTCTCTTTGGACTTGAAGTTTACATCAGTGGGTACTCTGTGGATTTTGGTTCTAAGGACTTCCATTCTTTGTGATTCCCAAACTTTTCATTCCAAAGAAAAACTTCATAAGAACCTCACAAGGGCTTCTGCAAGATTCTAAGTCTGTAGATCTGGTCAGAAACCCAGGAATCTGTATTTTAACAACCTCCACTAGTGATTGAAATGTAGGCGTGTTATGGCCCACCTTCAAGAAACACTGTCTCTGGGTTCCCAGCTTGAGTGCCTTTCTCCCTCCCATCTCTACTGCCAGGCCAGTTTCCTTGAAGCTGACGCCCGTCATGTGCATGCCCCAGTCCTGTATGCTCTTCCTTCACGAGCACCACCCTAACCTCTCCCGAGTCTCATCAGTATCATCCCAAGTCATTACTACCCACACTCCTGGCTCCTACCCTTACTTCCTTACAGCGTATACATACAGCAGTGGTCGCAGACGCCGCAGAGGCATCCTTCAGTAATAAATACAGTCTAGGTAGTTCTGCTCTGCACCAACCCCTCTAGTGGCTGCTGATCTCACTCAGAATGAGAGTCTTGCAAGGTCCCTGTGATCTGACCCAGCCATCTCTCTGGCCTCATTTCTACCGCTCTCCCCCCTTCACTCTGCTCTAGCCACAAAGGGCAGGCCAGGGGCCCTGTGCTTCCTGGTCCCTCCTTCTCCTTGAAAAGAGAAAATGGCTTTTGCTAACATGAATGGGGTTCTTGAATGTGGAGCATCATGTGAGTATCCACGGAAAGGCTATATGTCAAGTCAAAGCCTCACCTCAGACCCAGCTGTACGGCCCCGATGGCTTTGGCCGAGTTTCTCCACTGCCCCTGCTAGACTGTGAGCTTTCCAACACTGATGCACATGCCATTCTTTGTCCACCATCACCCAGTTTCTGTAGGACACAGGCACGCAGTAAGTATTGGGCAAAGTAATGATGTTATTGCTACATAAAGAGATGGCCGTATTCTGTTCACCCTTGCTAGATATAGATTCTATCCACATATACCCCAGTTATTTCTGTCCTGCCCTCTGGTCCCCAGCTCTTGGTTTCATGACACTGAGTCCATCAGGCCCCAGAACTCAGATTCAGGAAGTGTGTCTGGGTTAGCACAAGTCTATCCAACTACGGAAGAGAAAATATAGACGGTAACCAATGTCTCTTCGATAACTGGGTAGGAGCATCATACTTTTCATAGACTCACTGAACATCATACTCGAACAGGACTTTAAATGGTATGCAGGCTGATTGTTTTTTACTGATGCACGATTTCCTGACACGTGGCCGACCAGCCTTTACCCAGACAGCTCCTCCTTCTAAAACAGCCCTTCGGTGGCTTCAATTATTTTTAAAAATCTCCTTGTACTAAGCCCCAACCTATCTCCTGTCGCTCACTCATGGCTGTAGAGCTATGCGTTTCTTAAGATTGCACAACCCACCCTTTGTACAGGTGCTAGCACATACTAAGTATCACATAACGCTACTAATTTTTTTGTTCTTTACATGGTGGTCTCCACTCTTAATCATTAAAGAGAGCTATCAGTTCCTCTCTGGGAAAGTAATTCATGCTGTAATTTCCTTTCCTGATTTTATGCTAGTTCCTACCACTTGGAGACTTCTGAATATGTTTCAAAGAATAACGACCCCTGTCAGTTTATTTTTACCTCACCACGGCGCCCCCTGCTCCTCGATGTGATGAGAATGTGCCTCCGTCTAGAGATAAGGCGAGGGTGCCGTGTTGAGGCTGTGGTTGTGGGTTCCGGGATAACTTTAAGGGACTCGGCATCGACATGGGTAACGTCTGCAGTAAGCACAATCCTGCCTCACCGGCTCCAGGTGTAGCTTTGAATTTCACTGAGTTTCTGATTCCAGTGACAGCCAAGCTTTTGACTCAGCTTCTCTCGTCTTTGGACAGGGACCACAGCCTTGCTAGGTGTCGGGACATTCTGCTGTTATCTGGCTCCTTGAAACCTTTACCCCTGGCTGCCACTGAACAGTAGCTCTAGAAATGTTTGTTGGGCTGGAGTTGTGAGCAGCAGGAGGAAACAGCTGGTCTCTACAGCACATCCCTGTAATGTGGAGATTCTGCCTTCCGTCAGATTCATACCAGGCCCAGTCTCTGCTACTGTGGCTCAACATTCTTAAGGACATCACTGTCTACATCATGCCTGATATTCCACAGAATGAGCAGAATGAAAGTTCTCAGGGCATCTTCCTGGAGAGATGCTCCTCTTAAGCAACAGGTTTGGTCTTATCTTACAGATGTGTGATTTCTGTAATTGATTATATTGCCCTTGTCTTTTTTGTTTTCAGGTTTCTAGGAAGATCAGAGCCAGATTTGCAGCACACCTGCAGCAAACCCACAAGATCGCATGGATTTCACGTTCTAGATCGACCATTGTCTGTATTAGTCATTGTAGTTTGCTCTACACATTTTCCCTCTCCAAAAAATGTTCTCACTTTAAAAACACATTTGTATTACATGCCTTCTGTAACCTTCCGAAGATTCTTTCAGAAAAGGGCAGAGTTTAAATAGACAAGTAATAATTCTTTGCTCTAATGGGAGTTCCTACTGTACTCATCACGACACCAACCACTGCCTGCAGAGAATCCAGAAAATCCAAGGGCCTAGAGATCCGGGACTCCCCTTACTGAGGGAACAAAGGGAATGAGACCAAAGCACTCCTGCAGACTGTAGCTAACAAGTGGTACTAATGCCCAAAAGCCCACCCAGAAGCCTGAGAAATATGGGTAGACTTCCCAGGGTTAAATGACTTAAGGCAAAGCTAGCAGTCAGGAAGACGAGCCCCACCCCTGGCCAGGCGTTCTCATTCTATGGATGTAGCTGGATGCTCAGCTGGTACCAAATGGCACAGCTGTCCCCAGCTGGGGACTTAGTACCACATAAGCCAGCAGCTGGAGAGAGAGAAACACTGTAGCTCGACTACCTCCGCTAAGAAATGCCATCAACTTTAAACACCCCTTTGGCAGAAGGAGATCTCCAGATATCTTGGGAATATTTATTCATTACTTGGCTTCCCACCATGAGCCAGGCATTGTGACAGGAAGTCGAGGGAATACAAATGTAGGTGATGCACAGACTTCAAGTTTAGCTAAATCAGCCTGACACATCAATAGCCCCAATGGAAGGTGAAATAGGTGCCAAGAAGAAGCACAGGTCAACTCTCATGGGAGCTAAAAAGAGAAGAGTGTTCCTTTTAGCAGGAGATCAGAGAAACTGTCAAACAGTTTGCACAGCATCCTGAAGTGGGCAAAACTTCTTATGTTAATGAGGTGACTTTTGGAAACCTCGGGGGGGATGAGGGCTGGTTGCCCATAGAACCAACCACGTGACTAGAGGGTCCCACTCCTACTCCATCACCAGCATCTGGGGAGGAGGGAGGGGCTGAGTATGGATTTCAATGCCAGTGGCCAATGATTTCATCAATCGTGCCTTCGTAATAAGGTTTCCATGAGAACCCGAAAGGACAGGGTCTGAGTGCTTCCAGGTCAGTGAGCACATGCGGATTCGGGGGAGCCGCACGCTGGGGGAGCACAGGGAGGCTCCGCACCCTCTCCCCATACCTTGCCGTGTGCCTCTCTTCCATCTTGCTATTCCTGAGTCATATGTTCTTATAATAAAGCACAATCCAGTAAGTGAGATATTTCTCTGAGTTCTGTGAGCTGCTCTAGCGAATTAGCCAAACCCGAGGAGGGGGTGGTTAGAACCAGTGGGCCAGAGCCCAGGTATAACCTGGACTAGCTCGTGAGGGTGAGGAGGGGTGTGGTCTGGTAGCATGGAGTAAACCTTGTATCTGTGGGATCGTATGCTGTCTCCAGGGAGACAGTGTTAGAAGTGGACTGAATTGTAGGGCACCCAGGCGTTGAAGAATTATGTGGTGTGGGGGAAGAGCCATCACGCATCATAGCTGACACCAGAACTGTAGGAGTCAAGGTCAAAACATATCTCCACTACTAGTGGAGATTTTAAAGATAATCAGTATCATACTTTTTAGATAAATAGTAAATATAATGATAAACTGAAATACTTCTAGTAATCCTCCACTTCAGAGACTTCTGTTGGAGACAAATGCCCCCTTCCTGGTTTTGAGACCCAATTCCATCACAAGAGCATAACCTTAGATAAGTTGATTAACTCCTTTGTCCCTACATTTCCTCGCATGTAACATAGGTATAAAAATAGACATCCGCCTCACAGCATTTTTATGAGGCTTCCATGAGTTAAACATCGATTGCTTACCCTGGAACCTGGTAAGCGATGAGGTTTGCATTTGTTGCTCTTGTTGCCATTACTATTTTTATTATTCAGCACATATTGACTGAAATATCTGTGCCAAGTCCTGCAGACACCTGGGTGAGGACTAAGATACCATAAATAACAGGAAAGCCTACAATGAAATGGCCACATAGCCTCTGGCTGCGTGCGGGAACCAGCCACACTTTCCCTCTTCACAGTGTGCACAAGCCTGGGCTGAGCGGGGAGGTGGAGGAGCTCGGGGCCCTAACAATGCTACAGAACCAGGTACTGCTACTGGTTCAGGCACCAGCTGACCTAAATTTACCCATCCAATAAAATGGGCATATCAGTGCCAACTTTGCAAGATGACTGGGAAGGGACCATATCAGACCATAGCTGTAAAGAGACCAACACAGTGCCTAGAAAATCCAGATGCAGAGACTTGTAAAGCACGTTTGAACCCAGGAAGGCCGCTAGTCTTCCACCCAGACAAAACTGGCTCTGTCACTTCTGACACGGTCAGGCTTCTTGGCAGGGATAGCTGAGAGGACGGTAAGGCCAAAGGCGTAGCTCCTGAGGGGCTCGTGGTGGAGGCCACGGCAGGCAGACTTCCCCAGTCATCACAGCACCGTGGGTTAAAGGAAGGAAAATATTGATGTTTTATTGAATTACTCCTATAGGTCAGATCGTATTATCTCCGCTGTGATCTCAACACTGAGCCGCTGCAGGAGGAATGCACAGCTGAGGGCCGATGAGATAAGCCTTTCTCGGCCCTGACTCCTTCAAGACCCAGCAAATTGCTTCCTTTATTTAATTACAAATTAATTGAAAACACTCCCAAGCTGATAAAACAATACGAGTCCCCGATTTGTAGATAATAGCTAATCCCCCTGTAATAGTCCAGTGGACACCACCGCGTGATTATGTCATCAGTCCCACACTTGCAGGGCCTGGGGAAACCGGGCCGCCCGAGGTTCAGGGAAAGGATAAGCACAGAAGGAGCTGCACTTTCGGAGGGCCAGCGTAGAGGTAGGCTTGGTGGCGGAGGGTTCTGAGTTGATTCGCAGTTCTGCCAGTCATGAGCTAGAAGGCATTTTGGATCCCTTGGAGTCCCTGAAGATTAAAAAGACACGAAAATGTCTAACACTGTGCTTGTCACAAAGAGCACGATTTATTCATGTTGTCCGTATTCTTTTCCTTCTTCTTCTCATCCTCTGTGCAGTTAGGGGAACCCACGCTTTGCTTCTCAATTCAGAAGGTCATCTTAGTCCCAGGAGGTCAGAAGCTATGAGGATATACCCTCTCCAGCATCCAAAGCCCCTTATCAATCCAGTCTTCTGTACCCACCAGGGCGCCCTGCGACCCAGGCTCGCTCCTTCCTGCTTCCTGTGCACACGCTTATGCTGGATCGGCAGATCGTCACACTTGTCCAAAGTAAGCCGTGGGTCCCCTTGTGTGAGGTGGTCACCACCATTAGCCTACAAAAGCTTGCGTACTGGACAGACTGTCTGCTCCTAGCCAGACAAATGTTACTGCAATTAGGGACAGGTACACATCATAGGGGGTAAGGCAGCATCAAAGCATAGCACTCATTTTATAAGAGCAACTAAGAATGAATTGATGTTAAAGCTCAAAGGATTCAGGAGGCCAGGACATTTACAAGGACACGATATATGGTTCTTAATAAAACAAGAGCATTGCTCCATTATGATTGTCAGAATAATAAGGTTTTACCAGTAAGAGTAATTTACGTTTGTGCACTTTTATGCAGAGCAGAAGGTGAGACGCTGCATCTTTCTTTCAGTGGCTGCAACTTTGCAAACAGGGCAGAAGAAAATCAGACGCTGTCTTTGCCCACATTAACAGAGGAGGAACTGGCCTCTCATCGCTGTCATCTGTGAGGAGAGAGAAGGGAAAGGACACGGGCGAGTCTGTACAGTGGAGAGGTCCGTTTCTACGAGACTGATTTAGGAAGCACAAAGACTCGGAGTTTCAGATTTCCCAGGCCACTTTCTATTCTGTTTCCGACCCCCCTCCCCCGCCCCCCGTCTGGAAAAAGACCAAAGAGAGCCCGGGAGACCTTTTCCAAGGCGGAATCATAATCCTTATTAAGTGTTCATGTCATGTTTTTGCAGGAGCCATTTTTGAGATTGTCTAAAAGAAACTGAGCTCTGCTTAATGAAAATGGTGTGAGAAGATGGGCAACATTTAAGTAAGCCCTCAGTTACAGTATTTGTCATTGCACCTTAAAGCTGGAGTTAAGGGACTTCAGGAAAGTGCACTTGCAGGGGGTCAGGAAGAACTGTTGCTCCCTCCTCCCCTGCAGCACGCGGCTCCGCCCTTTCCTGCAGGGCACGGCACTCTCCTCTAGGCAAGAGGGCTTGGAGGGCAGGGCACGGGTCTTAATCACCTTCGCCCAGTGAATGTCTGGCACATAGCTGAAAATCAGTAACTGTTTGCTTTAGGAAGTGACAAGGGAGAGAAAACAAGAGCGCAGGAAAAGAAACGAGAGAACCACAAAATTCTTCCAATCATAAAAATGTTTGCTTCAGATATAATCAGAAAGTAAACGCTAATTTTGCATGTATGCTAAGGAAAAACTTAAAGCTTTTAAATCTGAAAGCTGATTAAGTCAGCATCACCTCATACAACTATTTAAGCTACACAGACCTCGCCAGAGTCAGAGCCACAACAACTTGTAGCAGAGTGCAAACAGCGGTTCCGCCGAGGTGAAGAGAAAGTCAGCTTCTCAAATTCAAAGCATGCTCAGGCCAAGCCTGTCGCCCTGGGTGACTAATTTGCTATATTGAATCAAATCATCCCGTTGGCAGAGCCAAGATAAAAATACTGATGGCAGAATTCAGCAAACCAGATGTCTGCTAGATCTCATTCTGCTAAAGCCGGAGAAAGCCTCAGATAAATTTTTGATTTGTCTTGCTGATAATTTCAATTTTTTCCTAGTGTATGGGAATCCATGAAGGGACTGAGTCCAAAGTTTCATTCTGACCAACCAAAGATAATGGGTTTATGTTGATTAGAATCTGTTCGGGCACAGGACCTTGATATCTGTGGACTGTCTGAGAAAATACATTGGCTCACATAAATGGAAGACAAATGGTAGGACAGATTTCCAAGTTGGTTCATCCAATGGCTCAGTGTTGTCAGCAACAATCCTGGGCATTCCCTTCCCCTGAATTACCGGCCTTGGCAGTTTGATCTGAACTCTAGCTTCTTCCACGGCAATGAAATGGCTGCTGGTAGCGGTTGGGTCTGCTTTCCTTTCCATATCCAGTGGCAGAGGGAAGGAAAGACCTCCACTGGCTTTCTTTTAAGACAAAAGAAAAAAATTTCCTCAAAGTTGCAGCAAAGCCTTACTCATATTTCATTGGCTAGAGTTAGGGACTATTTAAATGTCTGAACCCATCACTGGCAAGGGGGATGGGACTCTGTAAGACCCATCGTGCTTGTCCTTGAGGCTGAGGGTGGAGGCTGAGTGGGGGGGAGGACCTCAACCTAGTGATGCTATTTTTAGGAATAAAGAAAAGAGAGTGCGGGAAGTGGATGCTGAGATGGCTAACAAGAGTGTCCATCAAAGACAGAGCTGTGTCAAACACACATTTTGATAAAATGCCACATGCTCAGGAGTTAAAATAAAAATCTGGTGAAAATCAAGGCTTAAGTCAAAATGTTGCCATCATAAAACTGACTTTTGGGATAAGAATAAATTGAAAAATTTCTAAAATTATGATAATGTATCATTTACAATATTATTGGTTTATGCCCACAAGAAAGTGAAAAGAGCATTATATTTGTTGGAAAGATATGTACAAAAAATTGCCTCTCTCTTTGCAAGTCCTGGAAGGAGGAGAAGTTGCAAAATCCTTGAAAAAGACTGTCCCGTATACCAAAAGGCTGCAGGTTCCAGCCCTGATCAGGGTGCACATGGAAGGCAACTGATCGATGTTTCTCTCTCACGTTGTTCTCTCTCTCTCTCCCCGCATTCCCTTCCTCTAAAAAAAAAAAGAACTGAAAATATGTCCTTGGTGAGGATTGTATATATGTAAAAGGGTATAATATTCAGCAGTGCTTAAAAGAAGGTACCATGATGCTCTCCTGTTTAGTCAGCAGGGAGTTTCTGACAAATTGATGTTTCGTGCCCGCAACCTACATATGTGTCCTGACTTGGAATCGAACCTGCAACCTTTCAGTGTGTGGAACGATGCTCCAGGGCTGCATATGGATACTCTTGATGGCACAGAAAATGATACTGCCTGGGAAAATGTGGACAAAAAGTGATGCAGAGGAGCTGGGCTCAGAAAGTCATGGCTGGCAATTTATTTTGCTTATATTTTCCTTTTTCTGTGTGCACACGAATGATTGTTAAAAATATGTGCCAATTACTCTGGATTTTATTTTAATAAGTATAAGTAAACATTCTAAATGATAATAAACAATGTTGGTGGTTACATTTAAAAGTCTGACATTATAAGGTTAAGAAGAGCCCATTCTTGCAGGTGTTAGCTGTTAAGGTCACGCTTGAGGCAGCACTGCCCACCTGTGCCACTGCGCAGGTGCACACCGTGACTAAGTCTGCTCAACAGGTACACACTGCTGACCACGGTCAGAGGAAAGGCAAAACGTTTTCTTAGCAAGCTCATGACAGAATGATTTTCTATCTTTCTCATAGTAACTACGATGAAATGTACCTTTTCTCATCTCCTGCACTTGAAGATTTAGCTAATAATTATGACATGGTCTGTGGAAGCAATCCTCAACTAAAGCCTTGTGTGCTGCTGGAAGATACTTTCTGAATATTTTCAGAAGCACGCTTCAAGTGTTCTCATTTCTAATTTTATTTCCAATATTTTTACAATCACTTACTGTTTTTCCTGATTGCTCGAGATTTTTTCTTTTGATTTATTCATGTAGTAATGGGGCTGTATAACTGGATTCTGAGATAACTAAATTGCTTCTGCCTGTTGATCTCTACCTGCTGTTGATCTCTACCTGCTTGTTCTGCATGTACACACATGTTAAACCCACAGCCACAGCTGAGTGACAGATAGAAGGCTCTTTACCACAGGATTCATTAAAGAAATACTGAACGCTCACCACACTTCAGTTGATTACTTTGCAGGAGCCTCCAGCAAACTACTTTCTTTGAGCAGCCATTGTTTTTGCTAAATTCTGCTCTGTAAGTGCGCCCACTTACAAATTTCAAAGTTCAGGCTTTTGTGGCTGTTGTTGCAACAGTCTTTTTAACTTGTGAAATCACTAGCTATGATTTAATCTTATTTCAGCACTTTTTTATAGTACAAGGTATTTATCAAATCAGTTGGGCAATAACAGTGGCCCACGGGCTTTCTGGGTCAGCATGTCATTCTGCTACATTATGCGGCTGTGATTTTTGTCTGAACACCCTGCCAAAGGATGTGAATTAGATGTTGTCTTATGTGTGACTCCTAAATTGCTGATTTTTCATTTTCAATGATAATTGTGTGACATTTTCTCAATCTATAGCTATTTCTTTAATTAGATTTACAAAGTTGTTAGCTGTATTAGTTCCCAAAATCTCCTGGCAGAATAATAAAGCAATACCTAGATTGATTTATCTTTAATCTACCATTTTGTGAAAAGTTTAACAAGACCAGTTATTTGCTTTTGCAAACTGTCGATGGCAGTGTGGACAGTTATTGTTAAAAATGTTACTACTTTAGACTATTATTAGATTTTTGTTTGACTAATGTATCAGATTTTCTTGAACATTAGAGATATATTAATAATAACAAGCATGTATCATATTATTCCTAAACATAATTTAAAATATTATAGCATGTGTTGATTAACTTCACCATCTCTACATTAAATTCTAATCATTCCTAAGATTGAAAAGGCACTTTCATTATGATGAAGAACAGTTTCTCTATCTCATGCAAGCTGAGGTCTCATTTTGGGTCAGATCCAAGACAAGAATATGGGACTTGGGGCTGTAAACATCTAGGATAATTCCACTGGTACCCAAGGCGATCAAGAACAAACTACAATACACCATTTTACCATCTTCGGACATTCGCAGTGATTGGGTGGAAATATACGTGAGTAAGTTACAGTTACTTTTCAAGCAGAAATGAGGCCAGGGCGTTGGAGCTCTGCACTAGTCCGTGACAGGTGATCCTGCCACGGGCGAGGACGGACTGCTGGGCCTCCTTCAGGGCCCGCGGCTCAGACAGGGACTCCAGGAGCACATGCTCAGATGAGACAGGTTCTGTCTCTTGTAACACAGCCTTTCCCCTAGATCTCCTGCAGCCAAACTCAAAGTTTATTACCTGACTTAGGTAGACAGAATTCTAAAACCCCATCTACACTGTTTTCATTTAGTTAACCTATTTGATGTGTATTTGAATTCTGAACTCTTTTCCTCTTTTTGTCCATTTCTGGTCATAATTCTAAAGACATTTTAATGTCTTTACATTTAGCTTGGGCTCAAACTCTAATACTATCCTGTTGAATTATGAATTTTTATACTTTGCCTCTCTAGCCACAGCTTTAAAGACATAAACTTCAAAAAGTCAAAAAGCATAATTTCTAAGTAAGAGAATGTTGCAAATGATTATATATTCTCTTCTCCTTCACATATGCACAGTCTGTCTCCTGGGCACACAAACGTTTAGGTTTGTTACGCAAGATCAATGCCCTTCAGCCCACCTGTCTCCCTAGATGAAGGAAAGGTGTTGATGTCAGGCAGCTCTATGTCAATTTACCGGAAGACAATTCCCTGAAAACCAACATGCAGAATGGCTTATTTACAAATTGCAAATGAACAAGATTTTCTTGATTTTAAGCACTATTTATAATGTTTACAGTAATTCATTACAGCTTTTGGAAATTTCTGTGATGATGTCTTGATCGATTTTTATTTTGTATGCATAGCAGTGCCCTGAGGAGCGTTCAGTTTGTTCCTGGCCCCGTCCCTGCTGCTGGAGCTGGAGGGAGCTGGCACCCGCCCACTGCAGGGTCTCTGCAGCGGGAGAGGCTGGGAGGGGAGCCAGCACACAGCTCTGGCCGCTCTGCCAGTCCTGGGGGCGGGGCAGCTGCTGGGAAAGGAGGAGACAGGAAGGCCGGTGTTGAACGTACCCTGGAATATATTCCTTTTTTTCATTTTTCAGCTTCATTGAGGTATAATTGACATAATCATAGCACACATTTAAAGCGTTCCATTTTTAAAGTTTTGGTATATGAATGCAACAATGAAACCATCACGACAATCAGGATTGTGAACACAGCCATTGCTTCCACAATTCTCAACAATGTACACTGATATTCTGTTCACTTCTTTAGTCTTTTTTTGTAATTTCTGGGCTTCACTCTGGACAGGATGGGTTAAATTCACCACCTGCGGCAACCGCAGGGGTAGGCAATGGGATGAGTAGACCAGCCTGAGGTAATTCCAAACGTGTCCGCCTGGGAGACTGGGAAACCGGTGGCAGTGTTAAGTCAGAAGTCCAAAGAAGTAGGTCCAGACGGTGACCGGATGACTCCTAACTGATTACGTTTTTTTCTTCAGAAAGACCGAATCAGGGAGGCATCCTGGCAAGTGCAGCCCAGTCGCGAGTGGTCACGACAGGAGCTTGACTTGGGACACCATCAGCTCCGGAGTGTCGAGGAGGTTGGTTAACTAGGAGGAGCCAGGCACTGAGTCTCGGGGAACTCGAACATTTAGGGGCACACAATGAATGGGGGGTGCTTCATTTATGACCCCCTGCACACGAGAGGGACGCACACGGAGAGGGTGTGGACCCACGCGGAGGAGAGGGCTGAGCCGGCTGCCCTGTCACCGGGTCAGGCTCCTTTCCTGCTGCGGCCTCACCTGCCTACCGTGTCACCTTAGGCAAGTTTCTTAACCGCTGAAGTTCAGTTTCTTCATTCTAAAAGGGGATTATCACAGCTCATCATAAAATTACTGTGATTATTAGTTAAGATAACAAAGTATAACCATGAACAAGCTTGCTTTGTGAGATATAAAACCCCAACGTGACCTTCCCTGCCCTCCTTGTTTCCTCCTGTTCCTTTAATTTTCATCAGTGAGACGGTTTCCCCTCCCCACCCCCCATGGAAATGTGCACAAACACCACATCTTAGTTGGCTATGGCCGCTGTAATCAATGACCTCAGACTTGGTGGCTTAAGACACACTTTGATGATGTTACACTTCTGGAGGTTAGAAGTCCTAAAATGGGTCAGCAGGGCTGTGCTCCTTCCGGAAGCTCTAAGGGAACATGTGTTTCCTCACTGTTTCAGAACTTCCAGAGGCTGCCTGAAGTCCTCGGCTCACGGTCCCACCCTCTAGTTCAAAGTTGGCCTCTCCTCACGTCTCTCTCCATCCCTCTGCTTCCCGAACCACGCTGCCTTCTGTACCTGTGACCCCCGCTTCCTTCCCCCCATAAGGACCCTTGTGATCACGTTGGGCCAACCTGCAAACTCCAGGGTAATCTTCCCATTTTAAGATGTTTAACTTACTCACATATACAGAGTCCTTTTTTCTATTTAGGGTAACACATTTGCAGGTTCCAGGGATTGGGTTGTGAACAACCTTGGGAGGGGGATTTGTCACCCTATGGTATCCCATTACTTTTCTGGTCACTCTCAGGTAACATACACGCTACATCTTTAAAGTCACAAATACAGTTTCAGTTCAGGAATTTAAAGACGC